GAAATCATGGCCGTCAACTGCAAGGAACCGTTCCTGCCCATTTCCGGAATGAAGGGCCTATTATTGGTCTTGTCTACAATTTGTACTATTGAGCACATCATTGCGCTTGTCATTGAAGCTACTAACTAAATTCAAGAAGTGATATACTCATGAAATACCAATAATAAGTGCAAATTTCCATGCACTGCATCTTCAAATTTTACAAAGAACAAAGACTAGTTAATCAGACCACAGGAAGCACACGATCACAGTGCATATGCAAAATTTTCACGCACTGCATTTTCAAATTAACTTTTTCATGCTTCTTCTTTTGCCATTGTTACTGCTTCTGTTGTTTTTTTTATTTATTTATAAAAAAAGCCTTCATTCCTCTAGAGAAAGTTTGGTTAAAAAAAGGGTTAAAAACATAAAAACTCCCTATGGTATAGCTATTACACATAAAAATCTCTCGTGGTTTCAAATCATACCTATCGGTATCCCATGGTTTGAAAGAAAGTGCATTTTTGACGGAAATCGTTAATGAAAATGGAGGTCAGTGAAAAGACATAAATGCCCTAACGATATAAGCGAAAAATTGGTAAAGGAATTAGTCAGTTTGGCTGTTTCGGAGCAAACGAAAAGATAGAACGATCGAAGAGAGAAACAAAGAAGAAGAAAAAGCCCTAGAGAGAGAGAGAGAGAGGCAATTATCAGCTAAATTCCCGATTGTTATAACAATCAAACTCCGACAGCGACAGGAAATACAAGAAAGTGAAGATTTGCTGAAAAAATCGAAGAAAAATGGGTTCGTATGCCGTCCCTCATCTATTTCGATTTGGGGTTTGGGTTAGTTTGGAATTTTTATTGTGATTTACTGGTTTCATACTACATTTTAAGGTCATTATTTAACAAAAATAAGATTATATATATATTAATGTTGTTAATTAATTTAAGGTTTTCGAAGTATGCCCTACATTTGCTATTTTGATTATCAATTGGCAAATTTGTTAGGATATTGTGTTTGGTTGACTACGAAAAAGAAAAGCCTTATAATCTGGAGTTGTTAGCGGAGATTCTTAGTTACTGAATCTGAATATGTGATTGTCTTTGAATCTCAGTCAATTAAGTTGTTCGTCTTTGAATCTGTTGTACTATCGAATTAGAGTAGTTGGCAGAAGAATGAATCTGTCCAAATTTGTATCGTTATCAGTTTTTAGGAGTTAATGAAAACATGTTGCAGTCAAATGTGGTCCCCTATCTCATGTATAATGAATTATTTGTTCTGGATCTGTTGTATTATGTTAGCTTTTTGTATAATTGTGAGAGATAAATTACTGAAAAATGAGTGCTTTATTGTTTGTCATGCAATAGCAGAGGAGAACAGCAAGGATAAAGTAGACATAAAGATGTACTTTGGTGAAAATTTCAAAGAAAAATCAAGGCTCCACTACACGGGAACCCACATGGCCATTTTCAAAGAAAGAGTTGAAGATAAGGTAGACATAGTAAGTTTGTGCAGAATGTTTAAGAAAGTAGATGAAGGAGCAACGAGAGCAACGCTTTGGTTTTGTGTCCCCTTTGTTGATTTGGATGGTAGCCTACATCCAATTAGAAACAATAATATTAAATTGATGAATTTGGCATATGAGGGGACACCAGAAAGACTAATTTATGCTTGCAGTGGGGATGAGCCATTTGAAAAAGAGCCTGAAGATGGTGGGGTCAATGATGGTACATCTACAAAGGAAACATCCAGCGACACAACAATAAAAAAGAAAGGCAGTGATACAAAGGATGGCGGGGTAACTGTAGTTACTACAGGGACAGATACAAGTGCTGATGATAATAAAGAGTCAGAATGGTTAAAAGAGGGGTTGGAAATAATAGAAGATGAGGACATATTTGCACCCAAGAAAGATGCCGCAGGAGACAACAACCAGACCAATATAACTAGTGGAGGCAACAACCAAAAAGCTGATAGAGACAAGGACAAAGCTGATGGGGCCACTGTTTTAGCAAGATTACCTCTGCACGTATTCTCATTTGCTGAGAATAAAGTTGAAAAAAGTGCTGTTAAAAGTGTGGATGCAAGGAAGAAAAAGACAAGTAAAACCAAGCAATGAAAAGAGCCTGATGTGATTCAGAAAATTGCACCAACTATTTCAACTCAAATACCATCACAAATTCTATCAGAAGATGAAGCTGTTAGAACTGAAAAAGACCTTTCAACAGTTGGAGATCCAGATTTGAGAGCAGACATACAACAGCAAGTGAATGATGATGTCATTAAAGAGAATTGGCAGGAACCAGTGATTTTGGATGAGGAGTTGCTGGATACAAGAAGATGTGATGGTAGAGAAGATGATGATTGCCTTAACTTTAATCCTGAAGTTGAGTTTAAGAAGCTAAACTTTGAGCTGAAAATAGGGCAGAAGTTTACTAATTTCAGAGTGTTCAGATTTGTGTTGCATGAATGGCTAGTTGGAGAAGGATACGAAGTTACTTGGGTGAAAAACTACTCTAAGAAAATTATTGCTAAGTGTGCAAAAGGCTGTACATGGAGGATTCGTGCAACACCAATTCAAGATGAATCAACCTTTCAAATAAAGTCATTGAAGGGTGAGCATGTGTATGCTCAAGAGTATAAAAACAAGCATGCAATAGCAATATATTTGAGCATTAAGTATCAAGATAAGATTAGGGATAATCCAAGAGGTGATTTGATGGGGCTGAAGAATGACATCAGGAGAGACTTAATGATCAATATTTCAATTGCTAAGGTCGGCAGAATTAAGCTAAGCGTAAGGCAAAGGATCTGATGCTTGGCACGGACATGGAGCAGTATCAGAAATTTTGGAGTTATGCAGCGACAGTCCGAGACACAAATCCTGGAAGTACTGTCAAGATTCAGATGGACAGACCAACTGAAGGTTCAAATGGGACATTTGAAAGATTATATTATTGCTTGCATACATGCAAGCAGGGTTTTCTTGATGGTTGTAGACCAATAATTGGTTTAGATGGCTGTTTTCTTAAGACAGTATTTGGTGGCCAATTACTGTCTGCACTTGGGAGATATGACAACGATAACATGGTGCCAATAGCAATTGCAGTGGTTGAGGTAGAGAGGTATGACTCCTGAAAATGATTTTTGGAGTTGTTAATGGCTGATTTGGGCATGGGAAAGGATAACATTCCTTGGACATTTATTTCAGATAGACAGAAAGAGCTAGTACATGCTGTGAATGAACTTTTTCCAGATTTGGAACATAGATTCTGCTTGAGACATATGTACCAAAATTTCAACCAAAAGTTCAAAAGAAAGGAAATGAAAGACATGTTCTGGGCTGCTGCAAATATTGGCAATGAAAAAGAATGGAAGGTGGCAATGAATGACTTGGAAAAGGCAAACAAAGAAATTGCTGAATGGCAAAATCGGATTCCACCAACTCTGTGGAGTAGATCACATTTTAGATGAAGTAGTAAGTGTGACATTCTAGTGAACAACCTAAATGAGTCATTCAACAATTATATATTAGAAGCAAGAGAGTTACCAATCATTGGGATGCTTGAATGGATAAGGAGGAAGTTGATGCATAGAATTCAAACAAAAAGACCTGGAATGCAAAAGTTTCATGGACAAATCTGTCCAAATATAGCAGAAAAGATTGATAAGAATCAAAGGTTGAGCCGGACATTTGTTGCGACATGGGACGGACATCACAAATATGAGATAGATTGTGGTCCGAGAAAATGAGTAGTGGTTGATTTGCATGAATGGACTTGTACCTGTGGTTATTTTCAACTAACAGGTTATCCTTGTGCCCATGCATGTGCTGCAATAGGAGTGTGTAGATTACCTATAAACGATTATGTTCATGCTTGCTACACTAGAGTAGAATATCTGAAGACATATGCACACACTATCACACCTGTTCTAAGTGATACCTACTGGATAACATGTGAACAAGAGGGCTTAAACCCCCTTGCAGTTAGGATAATGCCTGGCAGACCAAAGAAGATGCGTCAAAGAGCACAAGATGAGCCTAAGAAGGGTCAAATATCAACTAGAAAGGGTCTATCTGTGCATTGCAAGAGATGTTTTCAGTCAAATCATAACTCACAGACGTGCAAGAATCCCATTCACCCTAACTCCAAATTTTATAAGGTAATCTTTCATTATACACTTAAATGGCATTGTTACAGCATCTGTATTTATTATTACTAATGTTAAATGCTCTTTATAGGCACCTGAAGCAAGTGTTACAGCTTCCATTCAATCACAGCCAATTGTTGAGTCATCTACTGAACCACAATCATTTACTGAAGAGGCTGCTGCAACCGGAACTACTACAAAGACAAGCACTAAGGCTCGGAAGGTGTACACTCCTTCCATAACATTCACTGGTTGAAAGACTTATCAGTTCAGTGGGATATTTCTAAATTGTCTCTTTGTTTTAATTTCAGTCTGTAGTTGGTACAAACCAACGGTGTAACAGGGTTGATAACACCACTGCACCAACAAAAAGAGCTCTGGCTCGTACTGTTACTGATGTCCTGCAGAAGTTAAGGCCAAAGAGAGCAAAAGCTGTCCAGCCTTAATTACTTGCCTAATATTTGCCTATCTGTATTTAGACTTTCATTTTAGATTATTACGTCTGGTTGTAATGATGCCTGCAAAATGATTGGTTGCCTGCAGAACGTCTGGAAATCTTTTGTCTAATTTTTTGTACACCTGACTTGGCAGTAGTTGCCACTATTTGGTTGTACCTTTTGAATGAAGTTCTCTGTGCAGCCAGGTTATTTTACAGAAATTTTTCACCAAGTGCTAAATCTTTTGTCTGTAATGGCATTTCGTGCCTCTTTGATCACTAGTTATTTTACAGGTTATTGAACGTTTGGAAATCTTTTGTCTGTAATGGTACTTCGTGCCTCTTTTATTTTTTCTGTTCATTTTTCTAAAACATTTGCTGCTTATGAGTATTCTATTCAAAGTTTTAAACTACAACATTTTGAAAGTAGTTGAAACAGTCGAATTATACTTCATCAAGAAAGCATAGCATTACAAGGTTCTAGCTGAAACAGCCAAATGATCAGCTTTAACAACTCCATACAACTGGCTACCAAATTCCACAGTCTTATTTGGTAGATATCAACAACAGTAAAACAGAAAAAGCAGATACCATAACACAACCTCTAACTAGCAATTTTAAGTTCTTCAACTCATTATCCAAATTTTCCAATTTTGAGAGCACGCCATCCACATAGGAATGTTCTGCAACAGGTTGGCTCACAAACTGATTTTCCCGATCTGGTTCATCTCTGTAAATGGGATTACACCAAGAAAAAAACCTACATTCATCTTTTTCACAAACAAAATATAACATTCCCTTTGATGGCTTTCCCGACTCAACAATCTTTAGTTTCGCCTTCCTTCAACAATTACACATCTTGTACTGGTATCGAAGATCTCTAGCTCCGTTTCCCCCACTGCCTGATCGAGAGCTTGAGGAAGACATCATCGTACGGTTTCTTAATTATTCCCTTCACTATTTACACAAACAAAAATATAGAGTTCATTATAAGAATTTATTGATATTCCAAATGGTTAAAGATTTTACCTTTTGAAACTTGCACTTAAGGAAGCACGAGCCTGCAGATTTTCCTCCTGAGGCACGAGAGCTTGAGCAGACCTTCGGTCAAAGAAGCTGGGTTTCTCCAAAGTCCGAAGAAGCTGATTGGCTTGAGGTTTTAAAAAGTTGTCAAGGGCACAAGAGGAATATCAGCTCAAACTTTGAGTTAAAAAACCATTTTCCGAAGCAACCACGCTCCTTTTCAATGCGTGGTTGATAATCGTGTTTTCATTAACGATTTCCGTGAAAATGCACTTTTTTTCAAACCATGAGGTACCGATAGGTATGATTTGAAACTACGAGGGGTTTTTATGTGTAATAGCTATACCACAGGGGGCTTTTATGTTTTTAACCCTAAAAAAAGGAGCTTGTTTCATGATGCAAAACCAACATCTTGGAACAGTCTCATGATGCATAAGATGAAACTGCTACATGTAATAAGAGAAGCAAAGAATAAATGGCATACAGAATAAGATAAATGAATTCTTATGGAACATCACCGCATCAGAGCATCTATTACTCAACAGAAGGACTACACCGCTTTTAAGCAAAGCAAAATCTGGAAATGCTCGTCAAAAGGGTCATTTTCCCCTTGGCGACTTTTCAGAAGCCCAGATTGTCACTTGGTTGTGACTATCTTCGAGTGATCAACAATCCAGTGCATATAGAGAATTGCCAAAACCACTTGTTCCAATATCCTCCTTTTAGCATATGAGAGCAGTTAAGACTCTTTCAAAGATAGTGTGAAGAATCTCATGCAACAGGAATCTTCGGTTCGCCTAAATTTACAAAGGCTTGTGCACGAGCCATGCGAGCCATTGCCGCATTCCAAGATACAAGGTGGTTCATAAATACATTCGCATATTTGGCTTTGTCATTCTGCCAGAAGTAAATCCTGGAAGATTAATTGATTGCAAATACTCTTAATTAACGGTCAGACTGAAGCATGGCATACCTTATAATCCAAATAATAAGCATGCTGCAAAATAGGAAAAGATCTCATCAGTCATTTTAGTAATCCTAAAAATATGTAACACTTCTCGTGTTTAACCTTGTCACCTCAGCTGTGCATGTGCACCAATGCTGTATGTGTGTGCTTGATTTGAGACAGAGAGTCGTTATCAGCTTACCTCCCACATGTCCAAATTGAGGATAGGCTGCAAAATAAAAGACAAATGCAACATTAAGGCCAAGACTATACCTCTGCATACAAAAGAATAGACAATGTACACAGAAGTTCAATTTTTCTTACAATATCATTCCACACAAGAGGGTTGACAGCATTTGATGTTTTGACAATTGCAAGGTGTTTCTCTTCTCTTTTCACTAGAAAAACAGTAGGAAAAGAATTAGAAAATCCAATAGAAATTATGCCTATATAAGCAAAAGCTATCACTCTTTGGTTTACGTTCACATATTCCATGTTCCATGACAACACTAATCATTCAAAAGATTCAAGAGAAAATTGGGGCAACAAGCAGGGAATGAACAGTTATTGGTCCATCTTTTTGATGGATTTTGAGTCTATTTCTTTTTCAAAAATAGGGAGTACAACTTAAGAGCATAATAGGAGTTAAGACTACATAATTGTATCTTGACTTGAAAACTATCAAATCATTACTAGTGGGGCTTTACGACAGAGTATAGTTGATATTGATGCATCTATATAACCCAGATTTTCTACATTTACTTGTCGGACCATCCACTGGTGTTCAACTAATCACAAGAAGAATTTAAGAGTTTCTATGCAGTAAATTAAAAAACAAGAGACAACATTGGTGACAATTTAATTACACAAGATCCAGGAACCAGAGATAGGACTTTTAGATACCCTTTTATCTTTCTACATAATGCACCGCAAAGTGTTCGTATCAACATGAGCAGCAAGATGCGGTCAAAGTCAAGTTTTTTTTTTTTATGAGCTTGTTAAACAACACATGGCATAGCAATCAAAAGCTTTAAAATGTTCATCCCAGGATAATGATTGTAAATTAAAAACAGAGGATGCAAAATCAAAGTGTGAGTGAAACTGTTGCAGAATTTGTCAAGTCACTGCCCTGTGGTTGATAAACACTTGGTAAAGTAACTCAAATCTCAAACTACAATATGCCTTTCAATCTACTCTAGAAAGAACTTACAAACAAGCCAAACCCAGCCAGATCCAAATAACTTTAGAGCTGCATCTATAAACTTCTCTCTGAAATTGGTAAAAGAACCGAAATCTTTTTCAATCTGCTGAAGTAGACCCAATATTGGAGAGCTAACTCCACCTGGTTGCATGGATTCCCAAAAGAAATCGTGATTCCAGACCTGAAAGTGAGGGTCAAAAACATGGATGTCACAACTCATTTTGTTAAATCAAATTATAAGAATAGATGGATGTGAAAAATAAAATGGCCAAACAAGATAGTACTCAAACCAGGAAAATCAAATTTATCAGCGAAAATAATTTTGACTAGAAGGGATGTTGGAATTCTTGGGGGTACCTATCCTAATAATACTCTCAATCAAGCATTCTAAACTTTAGAGTCTTGACAGGCAGCATCTGTGCATTCATCCTGGTATAATTGCACCAATGGAAAAAAGGAAGAAGAAAACCCTAATTTCTCACGTTAGGAACAAACATATGGAGAAACAAAGAGACAGGGGAGGTGTGCAAGGGTAAGATTTCAGTGAGCAAGAGGAGCAAAAGGAGAAAAAAATGCTTGAACACCCCTGCAGGAGACTCTTGCTGTCTTCCATACCTGGGCAGCATTGTTGAATTCAGGCAATGGGTTTCCGTTATTGTAAGTCACTTTAATGAGTTCTTCCAAGGTACAGCCATACAATAAATCATTCTTCGCAAGCTGTTTATTCAAAGCATCGACGTAACCACCATGATGCTCTCCCCAATGCATCTCAAGTGTTCTTTGGCTCATATATGGTTCTAGTGCATCCTAAACCAAAAATTGGAAAATAATTTTCAATATTTAAGTCAAAATGCTGAATGAAATCATTTAACCACATCAACAATCAAAATATCCTTTACAAATAAATGAAGAACATGACCAAGTAACATCTCAATAAGTTCAGTATGGTGTGACTAAAGACCACTTGAAGATCACATTGATCGCTCATAGACCTTTTAATTTTATTTTATTTTGAGCAATCACATGTAGACTTATTCTTGTTCTTCAATTCATGATACTTCCATCTAAAAAAACAAAAGGAGATAATAGGCAGCAAGAAGGAAGAAGCCAAGATATCAACTGGCCCAAAAATTGCTGGCAGGATGTATTTAAAATTTCACTGATGTGCATCCAATTCGGTGCAAACAAAAGAGTCATTATTGGGATCTGGTGTTTCCCCAAGAACATGAGTTGAACAGTTATCTACCAATAATTATATGGAGTAACTTTCGAAAGAGTGATTATTAGGCCTATAAGTATACAACTTGACAGCTACTGTGTCAAAAAATTATTGAACGAACCATAGAAAATTAATGTGAAGTGTCACACATCTTCCAAGTAAAGAAATATAAGCAAATTGACCGATTTTATCTTTCATAATCAATGCGAAGAATGCAGAAAGCTTGTGATACCATCTTTCATAATCAATGCAAAGAACACAGAAAGCTCACAAGCTTGTAGGGCGGGCTTCTTAACCCATAATAAGCAAGAACTTTTGATGCTCTATGATTCTTCTGATACAAGTTCGTCCTCTGCCTCCCATTCTGTATGAGGAAACACAATCAGCTTGACATGTTTGCCCTCAAAGAATCTGTCAAGAACACTATAAACTGCGCAACAAATTGTGAAAAAGTGAACATAGCTTCTTCAACCAATTCATGGCTGTAAAAGCCTCTCTTTTTCTCAGTAGTTGCATAAAGAATAAATACTTGTCAAGCACATGGGATCAAAAACTTTGAATCTATCGCATGTATGTAATCATTTTACTTGGACAAATTTGCCCATATGCTCTCAGATAAAGGGGGCAAATGAAACCATTCTACTCCACATCATATAGATTTCCTTGCTCCTGAATCTTAATGAATTTTAATGGATATTCTTTCAATACTAGCCTTGATTGAGCAACCATTTTTGTTTTCTCCAATTCTAAAATGTTAACAAAAGAAACTATTCAAGATTAAAAATTGAACCAATGCTTAGAACAGAGAGGAGACCTACCAGATAATGATGCTTCTTGGGCCTATTTAAAGGATTCAATGCCTCCGTAGTTTTTGGAACGAGATTAGAGCCTGAGCTGCAAAAGGCAGACCGACTCATTTCGACCAGCAGCAATTTCCTCTGGCACCCTCTCAACAAATTATCACTGCAAACACAAACCAAATTAAGAAAGCAATCAATCACGAGCTATAAGAAAGCAAAAACGAAAAACTAAGCTGAATTTGGGAAAATCGCCAATTTGGTCCCTAAACTTTTTCAGTTAAACCAATTTAGTCCTTTACGGTCTTTTTCACGAATTTAGTCCTCAAACAAATTTATCGGGTTCAATGTATGACTTATTAGGCAGCACCACCACATTTTATGTATTTTTCACGGCGGACCAAGGGTATAATTGGAATGATAGGTTCAATTGTCTAATTATAGGGATTATAATAGCAACTTTGACATGAATGAAGGAAAAGAAACCTCTGAAAATTGAGAGAGAAGAACTCATAGAAATTACGGCAAGTCACTGAACTTAGATATTTGCAAATGAAATGCAATCAAGCAGAAACTTCGACAACTCCACCTCAAGTTTATGTAGTAGCCAACACTCAAATCTGGATAGTCGAGCAAGTGGGCAATCAACAGGGGTGAAGGAAAAAATGGTAGAATTCTACAATGGGAATGAGGCAATAATTTGTCATTGCCGTGAAGAATGTAGAATTGTAGCTTCATGGACATTGGCGAACCTAAGCAGAAAATTTAATGGATGCATAAATTACGGGGTAATTTTTACAATTAATCACAACATATTGCTTGTATATTTTGATGTATTATATAATTTACTATAACTAATGGCTGGAATTAATGGTCATTGTAGACACTAAAAGCCTGCAATTATTTTCTGTGGTATGATCCTCCTATGCAACAGATGACAAAAAATATGATGGCAAAAATTTTGAAGAATTTGAGGAAATCTGAGGAAGAAAACAATTTCATGAAAATTGAAATATGTAAACTTGAAAAAGAGAACAAGGCGCTCAAAAGTGAAATTAGGAAGTTGAAAGCAGCAAGGAAATGGCTGATGCTAGTCGTGGGTTGCATATGTATTATGGTTATTGATGTATTATTACCCAATGGCAATGAAAGGAATGTCAATTTAAAAATGCTACATTAGATCCTGTTGTATGAAGTTAGAAGTTGAGAAATTGCTTCATATAATTTGAATGCTGTAATGTTGGAATGTAGACATTGGTGTATGGAACATGTTTATGTACTAAAATGGAACATTGTCTCGAATGATGTTTATGTAAAATGATTGAGAAATTTTGTCAAAATTGTTGGGCACGTTATCTCAAACGACATCTTTATAAAATGATTGAGAAATTTTGTCAGTTGTTGGGTACATTACCTTGAAAGGCGTCTTTGTTAAAATTTGACCAGAGATTCACCTCAAGTTGTATAAAAAATTTGACAAAGTTCCGTCTTAAATTTTGACAATCCCTACTCGCACAATTACCAAATGTATCATGTAAAATGCTAAACAACAAGAAAAAAGTCAAAGTAAATGGTACAGGAAGAGTGCCAATAGAAGTTCATAGTCATCAACATAGGTGCGACATTGCCAATATAGTGGGCTGAATTTTACAAAAGCACTGAATTCGCTTTAGACAAAATGCAGCAACATTATATCATTAGAAGTTGACACATGTATATTGACCAAAATGCATCAAATTCCTATTGTTAATCCAATTAGTACTTTATGACAAAACAGAAGCTCTTAATGTACAAAACAAAGCATGTCCCACACAATAGAAACTTTTTATTTCCAAGCTCCATTTAGTTGACCGGGCAACAATATCATCTTCTTCATCTAATAGCCCATGTGCCTGTACAAATAAAATCACATGTGAAAAGCCATAAACAGTCTTCTTTTAAGTCATGTCAAAATCATTGTCCAACAAATGTGCAAGACATGCTGTTAACTTTATAAATTATTTCAACTTATTGCCTCCTTTTTCCTAGTCATTTTTCCCTTTGATGGAGGGAATGGACCAAAAATAGTCATAGCAGCCTTCTTTTTTCTCCATGCTCAAGCTTGGCAGGTTCCACATGTTTGCCGGTTATGTCCTAAGCCATGACAAAATGAACACTTGGTGAATTTCTTTTGCACTTCAGGTAGTTCTTCTTGAGCTGATGACTGCAAATCAATAACCTCTACATCATCAATAACAGCCTGTGCTTTATCACATGACCATGAAATAAAGTTAAAAAGTAACAAGTACAAGAATAAAATTATTATGAACTACAAATAAATGGAAAAATCCTATTGCTGACTAGTTGGAACATCTGGCATTGAGCTAGATTCTGGAGGTACTTCAGTCAGTTCCTTGTCGAACACTTGATCTATACATATCAAAGCACCATTAGTTAAGTATTACACCATAAAATCAGTGGAGAGATAGGTCAAATTACCAGGTTTTGGGGGTAATTCACACATAGCATTCTCCTTTGTCCCGAGATTTTGTGGACAAGTTCTCTTATTATGGCCAAGTGCCTTACATTTGCCACACTTGTTAGAGTTGGACGGTGGTGGCCTCTTATTGCTAGATACACCAAACTCATTAGAAGGTACCAGCAGTGGACACTTTCTCATTGTATGCCCCTTTTGATTGCATTTTTTACATGTCATTCTAACAAAGCCAAATTTGGAAAGTTTGGTAACCCCCTTCAAATTAGGCCTAGACTCTTCTGATTCCCTTTTTCTTACTTTCTTTGGCCGACCAGGTAACTTCAACTTCGAGGGTGGTAAGACAGGATCCTTACCCGATTGCACCCAAACATTTGGCCCACTCAAAGGAGCAATTGCTGGCTCATAAGCCTTCAAGTAACTATCTCGTGAGTAGTAATGATGAACAAGGCGTTCTGGCTCTTGACCTATTAAAGAAATATAACAAATCACATGGCAGCATGGCAATCCAGTCAACTCCCATCTCTTGCAGCTACAGATCTGCTGTTTTAAGTCCATCACATGTTTGCCTCCATACATGTGTGTAATCTCAAATTTATCTTGATTAGACCATCTCGCAATGTTTGCAACTACTTCTGTTTTTGCCTTCTCCAGTTTCTTTTGAATTTTTGGGCAAATCTTATCACTCCTTTTCTTCATCCACTGCCTTTTCGTACAAAACCTTTCCATTAGATAGATTCTGATAGTCTCAAACATTTCAAGGATTGGCTTTTCCCTTGCATTCGTTATGACCGAATTAAAGCTTTCACATAAATTATTAAGGAGAATGTCACATTTTAAAACCACTCGAAAGTGTGATCTTGACCAGTGATAGGGAGAGATGTTGTCATTTAACCACTTCCAAGTAGCTACATCATAACCCCTTAAACACTCTATTTGATTTTTGAACATCCTCATATACGATGACCTTGCACATGTCCCAAACCTTTCCTTCAATGCTTCACCCAGATGATGCTTTTTGAAGTTGTTGTGCAAGTGCCTTATACAATGTCTGTGCTCAACATCAGGAATGACTTCCTAAATTGCAGATCCTAAACCCTGCAAAAAAGACAAATGCGGGTTCGAAACAATCAGTAAGCATTCATATATTTGCAATAAACATATACAAACAATGTAATCTGATTTGATTCACCTTCTGTCTATCACTTATGAAACTCCAATTTCTGTGATCGTTGATGGATAGGTCATATTTCAAGAATTCAATAAACCACTTCCATGACCTCTTATTTTCTGCTTCAACTACTACTTATGCAATTGGATAAATACAGTCATTTGGATCTATTCCAACTGCAGTTAATAACACACCCGAATGTGGACCTCTCAAGTGGCAACCATCAACTCCAATTATCTTCCTACAACCAGATTTAAATCCTCTCTTCAGTGCCTCGAAGCAAATGTAAAGTCTCTGAAATCTTTGTTTTCCGGAATCTTTATCTAATGTAGTCTCCATGTACATTGTAGAATCAGGATTTGCCTTCGTTAGTTCTTCACAATAACCCCACAATCTATTGTACTGATCTTTGTAGCTCCCATGGATCAAAATTTTTACCTTCATGAATGTCTTATAAACTTGAGGTTTAGTAATGTTTACATTCAGCTCTGTATGTACCAGTGTTTTGAAAATCGGACTGGACCGATCGGTTCGACCGATTGAACTGCGAACCAGCCAATGCACCGGTCCGGTTCTATGATAGTGTTGACTTTGTCAGAAAATCGGTCAAATCCGATCAAAACCGTGAAAACCGCTGAACCGAATCGAATCGGATTGAACCGGTTTTCAAGTTTCCCCTCTTTTTTTTTTTTAAAGTTTTGCAAAATGTTTCTATCAAGATTTGAACTCAAGACCTTTGTAAGGTCTAACCAATATAGTAACCATTACACCATCATATCTTATTTATTTTTTTTGATAACTTATATATATAAAACAAACATCCATATTTTTTTTCTATTTTTCTTACAAAATCTCATTCTTTCGTGACTCTTTCTTTTTAATCTTCAACACACACACACACTCTCTCTCCTCTTTTTTTTTGTCACTCTCTTTTTAATCAAACCTCTTTGATTTTAATTTATTGATGCTTTCTTCCATTTTTTTAATTTTGTTTTTGTCTATTAAATTGAAAAAAGTTAAAAAAGAATTATTTTTCTTTAATCCAAATTATTTAATGCTACAACCACTCACTTTTATCTCATTTTTTGTTTCTTATCAAGTTTGCATTTCTATTTTCGATTCTCTTGATTTCTTTCGAATTCCAAACTTTCTTATTTAAATTGCAATATCTAAATCCCAAAGATATAAATTAAAATTTAAGTTCACAATGTCAAATTCCCATAGACGTGAATTTTGTATAATTTCAAAATATTGTGATATTTTTGGGTTAGATTTAAGATTATTTTGGTAGATATAATTGAAATTGAAATGAAATTTATTTGTTTTAACTTATAATTTAAAAATTTTATTTTTAAAAATCTAAGTTATTCAAAATAGTAAACTTTTCATCATATAAAGTTTTAAATTAATCTATTGCATGTCTTATTTTGTGCATATATATATTTATATAAATTATTTTTTCAAAAATTCATTGAACCGAGATTGAACCAGTTCGACCGGTTGAACCTCGACCCTTTTACTTCACCGATTCAATTGACGGTCCGAGTTTTAAAACA